ATTCAAGTATCTTTCATACAATCCAATCCCTAGGATCAATTTAATCAACAAGTTCCAATAATCACTAACTAGTATTTCAATACTATTAAGATTATTATTATCATACCATTATCCTCATTATTTGTAATTCTCTACATAATTATAATTATGTAGCAGCAACTTAAGTATTCAATCTCAATACACAATTATTCATTTATGTAACCACATAATTCATACATGAGCAAAATGCCTATTTCACAAAAATAGTTCATTTATACTCATTTAATCTCATAATATTCATGCATTCTCAAATCATTTCAAATTTCATTCTTTGGCAACTATATCAATATTTCATCAATATGTAACCATCATAATTCATGAAAAATAATGATTTAAGCATTTAGGTAATCTCATGCTTAACCTACAAGTTGTAAGCAATTAGATGTCAATCCTCACCTCAATTGAGCTTTAAACTTTCCCTTCTTGGTCCAATGGTCAAAGCTTTGGTCAAGGTGGATTTGGAACTAATTCCTTGCTCAAATATGAGTGTTAAACAGCCTCCTCAAAGTGCTAGTTCAACCCTCAATCGTTGATACGAAAACAGCCCCTAGAACGGGTGTTTCCCGGTTAACTCGTTTCCTAGTTTTTCCAAGATTTGCTCTAGGTTAGTATCTAACCTTTTCATCAATAAAATAACTTTATAAGGACATATTATACACTTGGATTAGTGTATAATAGTCCCACCAATCGTTCATATCATTTGGAGAATGAAAAGTAAAGTTTTGGGGTTAAAACTCACTTTAGAAGATTAAATCCTCTCCTGCGAGGTTGTGTTTTGCTCGGACGATTTGGAAGCCTTCCACAACTCCGATTGATGCAAACCAGACCTACACGGATTCCTCGTCTTGAGAGCTTTCTTTTGGTATCTCACACGCTTTAATTGGATTGTTAAAACTCGAGATATCAACCAGACAGTCCCAGCACTCCCACAGCTCGAGTTCACAGACCACTGCTCGTTCCAGATCGATTTTTGGATGATTGCTCTCTCCTATCGAACAGAGACCACTCAATTATAAAAATAGACTTCAAAATCTATCCAAGGACACCTTATACACCTCATTTGGCCGAGTATAACCTCACTCATGAAGGGAGACAAAACAGCACACCTGTTTGTGCGAAAACAGTGGTGGTGGCCCCAAAATTTGATCCCAATTGTGTCATGGGCAATGCTCCTCCATGTGGTGCGACCAAGGTGAGTCTTCTAACCCATTTTCCTTGTCTTGCAGGTACTCAAGCCACATGGGATGCCCCCCCAATTGATCCCAATCAATTTGAGGTCCAAAATATCTACCAATACTTCCAAAAATGGGAAGATGGGTCCTATTGTTTTATCTTTGTCAAAGATGTCCTTTTGTACTCATCCTAATTTATTTAGAACAAGTCAACTTCCTAAATCACATTATTGATCTCCAATATGTGTAGGCTCATCCCAATAATTTACTTGATGGATATTATAGAAGGAAAATCCTACTCCCATTATTTAGCTCAAAAATGCCAAAGATAGGGTTGTAGGCATTGGTATTCTTCTTTAATCATTCGATCACTTATTTAGATAATGTTGAGCTCTTTTATTTATTAATAAGTCCCGAAAAGCGTTTGCAAACCCGACACTATCATACGAGTTTGAACAGCACGATATTCAGTCATGCACTACGTAAAACATTAATCGTTTTACAATTGTTTGGCAATCGAAAATTCAATACATAAATGTTAAATTTTTAAATCGAATTTTTCAAGGACGTTCGGGTGCGGTGTCACACCCGATATCTTTCAAACTCAGAAAATGAAAGTCGTGATTCACATGATTCAATGTGAGTCGCATCTAAAGGAACGTATAGCCCACGAGGGCGACATTTTTTCAATCTCACCAAGTCAACTATTGGAGATTCTGGACTAGCTACCTTGATGTCAGAATTATCATATATCCAAGGTACATTTTCTAAAGTCGTTCCATTAACCGGTTCCGAAAGTTCGCTTAAGTCTATGGAGTCCAGTACATCCATAAGATACGGAAAGCTAAAATACAAATAAATAGAAATTAGCAAAACATAAAATAAAATTCTTCTTCCGTTCTTAAATAAATGCAACGGTCAACATTTCACACTTGCCGAGACACAACTGTGACCATTAATATATATAAATTTATATCAGTCAAAAGGTTTAAAAAAATTAGATATTGAAAATTTACAATGAGACAAATTTCATAATATTTTTTTTCATAAAAATATATTCATACATTAGTAAATAAAACGTAGTCAAAATAGACCATGTGAATAGTGTAAAATTTCATATGTGGCATTTATTTAAGAACGGAGGTAGTACATTTCAGTAGCTAATTACCGAAAAAGGGGAATCAGCAGCTAATTACAAAAAAAAATTGAAAAATCATTGATTAATTACAAAATAAAGTCTTTGACTAGTGGTAAAAAAAGAGGCAATGAAAAAGGGATATCATCTCTAAGTGCTAACTACGTATTGATATGAAATGCACATTACTAATAATATAAAAAAGAAGGAAACAAAAAATAGAAGTCAAAATTAAATATAAGTCAAAATTAAAAAGAAGACAAAATAAGAAGATTAGAAGAGAGGTTACCTTTCTCTCGTGAAATGAACGGACCAGGAGAACCTCCACACGCAGCATCAAAATACGAGGGGCTGAGGTGAAGGCGACGACGGCAGGCTGGAGTGGCGACGAACCAGGAACGATGGGAGGTGGCCGCGGTCGGCAGTGATGGCTACGGTTTTGCGTCGAACTTTTGACCTCGTCAATCGCTTGCAGTATGAAGGAGGAGCTGCACCTTCTCCGGCCGCGGTCTGAGTTCTATGAGAGAGGACAATGGTGCCGAAGATTGTGTCCAGTGACGAGAAATAAGGTGCAGTAGGTGTTTAAGCAAGAAACTAACAATTTCTCTAAACAATTAAGAATAAAGTAACTAGGCTTCGCACAAGAAATTACACAAGTATTGTGCTAGAATCCGGGTATGAAAGCTTGTAGAATACGAATGAGTTTCGTCAGTAATGGAGTAAGTAGTTCGAGTAGTAATTGATAAGATCAAAAGATGCCCTTCTATTTACAACGTATCCTATTTAAATTGGCTTTCTCCGCTCTTATCAGCTCCCTAACTGCCCGTCGAAATAGGCGGCAGTATATTTGAACGTGTCAAGCCATTTCTTTTGCTCCAAGTATGATTCACTCTTATCCTGGCCGAACTGGACTCCTCTTGCTGGACTTCGTCTATACTGCTTGGAAAATGGGCCGCATGCCTTAACTCATAAATCCACTGCTGGGCCTCTTCACTTGATGGAAATTTCCTGGCCCAACAATTGCCCCCAATTCGATGGAGTAATTGGCGCTGAGAGAAGTGAACCGTCTGCCCAATTGCTACTTCGAATTTGAAACCAAACCGTCTTGGAAGTTGTGTAGCCGACTACCTTCTCATACTCATAATTACCTCCACCGAATTACTCGCCATACTCCTTTTCCTTCTTCGAAACCCTTCTTCTTTCTTTCCTCTGCAACCTTCCCGTCAGCTCCCATGGCTTCCCAAGGCTTCGTTCCGCAGCACATCCTCGAACCCAAAAGTGCTAAACAAGCAAAACTTACTGAGGAACAAGTAGAACTTATTCAAACTTCTGTTGGCTTTCCCCCTACTGTGACTATCCGTTTTCCGGCGGCGAACGAGCGTATGGACTGGTTCTGCCCTGGCTGGGTGAATTTCCTGTACTACCCCTTCAAGATTGGGATGAAATTTCCCTTCTCTCCCCTAACCCGGGGCTTCTTGGAGTTTGTGAACCTATCGCCTTCTCAGATTATGCCTCAGGTGTGGAGGATTCTTCGTGCACTGGAATTTGTGAGTGAAAAGTATGGTATTCCCTTCGAGTTCGAGGACTTGGGCTTCACCTATGAACTCCGAACTTCAGGGCCTGGCAGGTTTACTTTGGCGATGAAAGATAGGAGACCGAGGCTCATTCACAAGGTCGACAAGGCAAATGACAGGGGCTGGATGCATTGGTATTTTTTTGTTCTCAAAGACTCGCTTGGCAGCGAAGGGTCCTTTCTTGAAGATAACCTGCACAAAGGTAAACCACAAAAACTTCTGTATCTTTTGTGTTCGTTTGTTGTTGTCTCCTCTTTTTTTTTTTTTTAAAGCATGTGTTTGAAATTTTGTAATCAACCCTTGATTTTTCAGAAAAGAAAACAATATCCATCCCTCACGGACCAAAGTCGGAGGAGCGAACAGCCCAAATTCAAGTTATCCCTGTTGAAGAACGTTGGTTTGCAAACCTGGTCGCTGAATCTCCAGGTATGCCCCCCCCACTCTCACTCCTGATAGATCTGTTGGGTTAAGGCGCTCTAATCGCAATATGAAGACTTCAATTAATCTGATGCAAGGCTCGTCTGTAGTCTCACTTGACGACTCAGATCAGGAATCAGACACTTCGAAAACTGGTGCTGGTGAGAATGCAGACATCTATACCCCAATGCAGGTCGTCTTTCCTGTGGGTGATAATCCTCAGATGGTTCCAAAGAAGTGTCCCCTTCCAGCTACTGGTAAGCACAGTCACGCCCTTTGACTGGGGTTTCTCAATATGTGGTGTTTGTTTCATGATGCTTGTGTGTTTGCAGCTGCCGCATCTTCGTCTAGCTCTCGTTTGGTTCCCTCTGCTCATGAACTGCTTGCTCTGGCCTCTAGGAAGAAAAGAGTCTCTCCTCGACTAGCTTCCACTCCCCAGAAGTTTCCCAAGTTAGCTGTTGCTGCTGAAACCAAACCAAACGTACCGCGCCCTCACGAGGTCAAAGCAGTTCTGACCTCCAAGACATTGGATGTAAAGGTGTCACTCTCCCCTGACTTTTGTAGTTTACAAGACGTGTCCCTGATGAGGGGAGAAATGCACAAGCTCATGCTTCCTTCCTCTCCAGATGTTTTCAAATGCCTGCCTCTCGCTGGACTACTGTCTGCGTCTTCGGCCTACGCTTTTCAGGTAAACATGACTTTGTTTAGTTATTTCTTTATAAGCAGCCTCCTGATGTGATGGTATGTCCTGTCAGAGCTTACAAGCGAGTTTGGTTGCTGCTGAGAGAGTGGCTTCACTGGAGAAGGCTCTTGACGAATCCAGGCATAAGGAGTCGACTGCTCGCTCCTTGGCAGAAGAAAATGCAAAACTGGTCCAGGACTTGCAAAAGGAGGTGTCAGCTCAATCTACTCAAATCTCAAGGCTCGTCGACAGGATTAAAGCGCTGGAGGCTTATGGTCGGAGGAAAAAACAGGAAGTCACTGACGCGGCTTGCTACTATGTCTGGCAAACGAGGGGAGAACTTATGGCTTCCTTTCTTGCGGGTGAGTCGTCTGGCTGGAATGCTGAGGAGGATATTGCGACTTGGAAAAAGGTTCAAGAAGACATGGATCCTCCCATTGCTGAAGACGGCTTCGACGTAGGACAATCTGATGGCGAGGCTGATTCCCAACATGCTTAAGTTGCTCTGTATTCTTTAACATTTTTGCTAAAACATCTCTGATCTTGCTCCCGGTATCCTGGTGGTTTATCCAGGACGGGATGTACTCTTGACTCTTTATGCCTGTGCACTTGGTGGTTTATCCAAGGCCTGACTTTCATTTTGCTATGTTTGATGTGAAAAACCTTGATGTGTCTGTTTTTGTATTCTGTGTGTGCGCACTAGTGCTGTATATATATGTGATGTTATGTATGTGTGTTGATTTTGGCCAAAAACATATATGTTGTAAGGGCCGGTTGGGACTGTAATCCATGATACTCTCATGGGCAGCCCAACCCTTTCCCTCTTTTTTATGTTGATGTACAATACCCAATTGGTAAGGGTGTAAATGATGCTTTCCATCCTTCGTAAATTGGTCCTCTGCCGCTTGTCTCAAGTTGACCCTGCACCCACTACAAACCGTCAAAGTTGGCCGTCGGCTTTGAGCCAACGGCCCTCCGATGGTTAAGTCAGTAAGCAATTATGCATGTGTTTTAAGAACGAAATACACACCATACCTTTGACATGTCACAGCCTTCCTTATCTACCATCTCTTTAAGTGAGCCAAGGACTTACCAGGTTAACAAGTACAGAATATTTCGAAGGAAAATTAGAGAGACATCATTTAAACTATCCCTAACGTATTCTAATCCAATCATTTCGACTTATTCTTGATATGAAATTTTCCAGAGTAAACTTACTGATCCGTCAAGGATCAGCTTGAAAGATAAGGCAAAACTTCAAAGTGACACGCAAATTAATCATGATGTTGTGACAGATCCGTCACACCCGAAATGTCATGGCCCTTACCAGGATGTATGACGTATCCAAGGGTCCTACCCAGCGCTTCACTTGGCTTCCTGCACTTCAAAGTTTTGTTATGTCTGGCCGTTGGCTTTTAACCAACGGCCCTCCGATGCTTAAGTTAGTGACTCGCTCTAATCGGATCATTAAATAAGATATGAAAAGATTTAAAAATGGAAAAGTTTTAAGTGTACCGCATTCCAGCTTCTAGGAACCTGTTTACCGTCGATTGATTCTAAGCGATATGCCCCCTGTCCAATAATGTCGACGATCTTATACGGACCTTCCCAATTGGGACTGAATTTCCCGCTTGCTTCATTTCCGAACGCTCTTCTCAAAACCCAATCTCCTTTCTTGAACACCTTTGCCCGAACGTTCTTGTTAAAACTCTTTGACACCATTTGCTGATAGGATTGTAGACGGATCTTAGCTTTCTCTCTAATTTCGTCGATAGTGTCAAGATCATGTATTAACTCGACGTTGTTCCGTTCTTCAGTCATAAGCCCGTATCTTGAAGATGGCACTTCAACCTCTGCCGGTATGACCGCCTCACAGCCATACACCAAGGAGAAAGGAGTCTGTCCGGTCGCATTCTTTGGAGTCGTCCTGTCAGCCCACAAAATCAGGGGTAACTCGTCAGCCCATCTGCCTTGTGCTTTCTCGAGTCTTTTCTTCAAATTGGACACAATGATTTTGTTGCTAGACTCGGCTTGTCCATTGGATTGCGGGTACCTAGGAGTCGACGTCTCCAACCTGATGTTGTACCTTTCGCAGAAGCGTCGGGTTTTTGCACTTATGAACTGGGACCCATTATCGCACACGATCTCCGACGGAATGCCAAACCTGCAAAGTATATTACGTCTAATAAAAGATATTACCTGTTCATCGCGTACCTGACAGAATGGCTCAGCTTCCACCCATTTTGAGAAATAGTCCGTCATTGCCAACATGTAAACCTTCTGTCCTGGAGCTTCGGGCAGCTTTCCCACGATGTCCATTCCCCATTTCATAAAAGGCCAGGGTGAGAGGACCGGATGAAGCGACTCAGGCGGCTGATGACGGATCGGTCCGTGCTTTTGGCAAGCCTGGCAACTTTGGGTGAAGGTGACTGCGTCGTGCCGCATGGTTGGCCAGTAGTATCCAAAGCGGAGAGCTTTGTTGGACAGACTTCTCCCCGCAGCATGGTTTCCACACTCGCCTTCATGAAGATCTTTGAGCACCCTCATGGCTTCTTGAGGTGCTAAACATCTTTGGTATGGACCTGCTTTAGATCTTTTAAACAGTACATCATCGATTAATAAGAATTTGGTTACCTTGGAGAGGAATGCCTTAGCTTCCTTTTTGTCTGATGGCAAGATGTTATGTCTCAGGTATGCTATGTATGGCTGCGTCCAGTCATCTTGTGAGGACGAACTGATTGTGCTGACGGACTCCAACCTGTCAATTGCCGGACTTGTCAAGTGGACGAAGGGGATGTTACTATTGACCTCTGCCCCCAGACATGACCCAATCGCGGCCAAAGCGTCTGCCTGTGTGTTCTCTTCTCTTGGTACTTGTTCAAGTGTGATTTCGTCGAACCATGCTATCAACTCCGTGACGATTTGCAGGTAGGACGTCATCTTGGAATCCTTTGCTGCATAAATACCATTAGCTTGGTTAACTATTAACAAGGAATCACATTTTACCTGGAGTAGCCTGACACCCAAATCTTTTGCCAAAGTTAAGCCTACGATCAATGCCTCGTACTCCGCTTCATTATTTGTGGCATTAAAATCACAATGAATGGCTTGAAACATGGTGTCCCCCTGTGGCGATTTTAGCACTACGCCCAGGCCTGCTCCGTTTAAGTTCGACGCCCCGTCCGTGTGCAACGTCCACTTTTGTTGAGGCAGATCGTCTGTGATGATGCATGCTTCTTTTTCGGCTTCAGACTGGAGTTTAGGGCTAAAGTCTGCCACAAAATCAGCAAGCGTCTGGGACTTCAAGGCAGTTCGTGGTTCGTACCTAATGTCATAGGCTCCCAGTTGGATTGACCACTTGGCCATCCGACCTGACAACTCTGGTTTCCTCATGATTGATTTCATGGGATAGTTAGTGCGCACACAAATAGTATGTGATTCAAAATATGGACGTAATTTAACCGATGCAGTAATCAAAGCTAAAACGAGTTTTTCAAGTAAAGCGTACCTGGTTTTGGGTCCATTCAATGATTTACTTACATAATATACCGGTGTCTGCATTCCGTCGTCTTCTTTGGTTAACACGGCGCTGACAGCATGTTCTGAGACGGCCAAGTACAGTTGAAGCTCGTCGCCCTCCTTTGGTTTTGTCAACAACGGCGGGGTTGTCATATATTCCTTTAACTGCTGGAGTGCCTGCTCGTGTTGATCTGTCCATTCGAACTTCTTGTTTTTACGAAGTACGTCATAGAAAAGGCGACACCTGTCAGATGACTTGGAGATGAAGCGGTTCAGAGCAGCAACTCGAGCTGTCAACCTCTGCACATCTTTGACTGACTTTGGCGATTCTATGTCAATGATGGCTCGGACCTGCTCTGGACTTGCTTCTATTCCACGTTCACTGACAATATAGCCCAAGAATTCCCCTGAGGACACACCGAAGGCGCATTTCGACGGATTGAGCTTCAAGTTGTATTCCGTCAACTTCTTAAATGATTCTGCCAGGTTGCCAACGTGGTCCTCAGCTTTCCTTGACTTGACGATCATATCATCTATGTATACTTCCATGGTTTTCCCAATTTGATCTTTGAACATCATGGTGACGAGCCTTTGAAACGTTGCACCTGCATTTTTTAGACCAAATGGCATAACAATATAGCAATACGTACCTGTTTCAGTAATGAAGGCCGTCTTTTCTTGATCATCAGAATGTAGCTGAATCTGGTGGTAACCGCTAAAGGCGTCCATGAACGAGAGCATCTCATGTCCGGCAGTCGCATCTGCCAATACGTCAATGTGTGGCATGGGGAATGAATCCTTTGGACATGCTTTGTTCAAATCGGTGAAGTCCACGCACACACGCCATTTCGCCTTTTTTCCTTTTGCTGCCTTCTTTTTGATGACAACGACGTTAGCTAGCCAATCTGGATATCTGACTTCTCTAGCTTTCCCGGTTTGGAGAAGAGCCTCGACCTCTTGGTTTATGATGTCGTTCCGCTCCCTTGCAAAACGTCTTCTTCGTTGTCTGACTGGTTTATATGACGGATTGACATTTAACTTGTGCGTGATGATCTTCGGGTCAATTCCCGTCATGTCTTTGTGACTCCAAGCGAATACATCTTTATGTTGTCTAAGAAACTGGACCAGTTCAGCTCGGAGGCTTGCTGGCAAATTTGTCCCGATGCGGATGACCCGTTCTGGATGCTCGTTGTCGATGACTACTTCTTCCGTTTTTTCGTCATCTTCCTCCAAAGCTGGGTCACCCTTTAGTTGCTATGCTGAAGTTGGAGGGTTTGCTGTAGGCTTCATGGCCGTCTGATAGCAAGACTTGGCTACCACCTGGTCTCCCCGAATGGACTCTATTCCCCAAGGCGCTGGGAACTTGACGACCTGGTGATATGTCGACGGAATGGCTCCCATTTGATGCAACCATGGCGTCCCTAAAATCATGTTGTAAGCTGGGAGGTCCTCCACTACATCGAACCTGACCTGCACATTAAGACCGTTAGCGTAAACAGGGAGAGAGATATTACCTATGGTCCGGCTCGGCTCTCCGTTGAAGCCGACGAGTGTAGATCCTGATTTTGCTATGTCATCCTCTTTGATTCCCATCTGCTCCAGCATCCTCATGGTAGTTATGTTGGCCGTGCTTCCGTTGTCAACAAGGACCCTCTTCACTTCAAAGTTTGCCACCCTAAGGGATATGACCAGAGTGTCATGGTGGGGTTGCATAGGGTCTGGCATATCTGACTCGTCAAAAGCAATAGCCGTGCTTCTCCAGTCGTCACGTCGTCTTTCTACTTGACATACCTGCAATGACTTGTCTCGGGAATACTCCCGAGCGTGTCTCTTGGCAGCAGAATACGTTAGGCCACATAAATCCGATCC